CTTTTTCTGTCCTGTTTTGACCCCCCTCATCGGAACGCTCTGTTTGAATAGATGTGGTGGATTGTAGACTCGGAAGTAAACGCCCACTGCTATGATTGGCTAACAGCTGTGTGTGTGTTAAAAATGCATAAATACTCAGTACTTATTAAACGATCTGTAATAACAGACAAACCAATAGTGACCACATTATAAAAACAGTTACTCACACTTGTGTGGTGCGACATTACTGTTGGATCTAATACAGTCGGCACAGCATCGTCTTTTTGTTCATACAACAGTTCGTTCTGGTTCTCAAATCTGATTGGTTGAGAACCGTGAGATATTGTACTGGTATCGCTACAGGAACGCCCTTTCATGATACAAAATATATACAAAGATACAAACTTTTTAAGATTTTTTTTATTTCCCACATGCTGATATAGAGCCGGTGTCGCTCTCGTACTCGAGTGATATTGCTCATTTCAATCATTCTGAAAATCCTGTGTCAAATTGTACCTTGTTTGTAAACGAATCCGTGGTAAAATGAAGTGAACTCTGCGTAGACCTGCATTTGCCTCTCTCGTTATTTACACTATATGCACGAATCGGTGGGCGGGGCTAAACAGGCAGTGCTTTAGAAGCAGGCGTTGATCTTCTTCTGTGGAGGCGGGGCTTAACCACACCATTACGTCATAAAGTGGCACATTCCACAACCTGTCATTTTGGCAGATTGGCTTTAATATAAACTGTTTTAGACTAAAGAGAACGTTTTGAGTTTTGAAACTTATAGGATGTTTTTAAAGTACAATGAACTCTTATATGTCAAAAGATCAAGGGAATTTTGATTTCTCAGTTCATGACCCCTTTAATATTAAGTTAAACCATGAGACCAATATGCTGCATTCTTAGCAAGATATTTTAAATACCAGAATGGATATAAAATGAGATTTACATGGTCAGCTAGTCTAGAAGGATCCACGGTATTCAAGCACTACAATTTAACATCTAAAAGTAAATACTACAGTCAAATACTGCATAATGTCAATACATATCTTACCTTATATAGTGCTGTGCCAAGTAATCCCTCGAAAGACTTTAGTTTTAGGTAAGGTCCATTATAAAAAGGATCAGCATGTGCCTTTCTGCCCAGCCAGAATATGGTGATCAGAACCTAGGACACAAATCAACACAATTGTATTGGAACATATTGCAACAAAGATTCAATTCAGTGATAAAATAAAAGGCTACTTCATCTCTGGCTGCATGTCGAGATATCAATTTAAACTAGTTTCATTTGAATGCATAAATAAAGGTAGTTCACTGATGTTTGACACACACAGAGTGTTTAAATATTTTTGTCCTAATTTTAAAGAATATACACTATACATTTCAAAAGTTTGTGATCAGTATGTTGTTTTTTTAATGATGGAAAGTGACAGTGAAGACTTGTACATTGATTTTAAAAAATCTATTTCAAATAAATGCTGTTATTTTAAACCTCTTTTAAAACGTAAAAAAAAAAAAAAAATCATGGTTTCCACAAAAAATAAATAAATAAATTACGCAGCACAACTGTTTTCAACTGTGATAATAATAAATGTTTCTTGAGCAGCATTTATTATTATCACAATGAATGTTTATTTTATCACTTAAAATAACTTGTAATCTAACCAACATTATTATTATTTTTTTTTTTTTATAGTATGGTTAGATATTTTGTTCAGACATTCCCACTTTATTGAAGGTAGCTTAAGTGACCAGATACTCTTTGGGCCACTGCATTTGTTCTCTAGAGAGGTGAGGGATGTCTTAAGCAGCGTACTTGAGTTTTAGATAAAGCCTCTTGAAATGTCACTATGACATACTGCTACCGAGCTACTTTAAGAGACAAGCAGACAAGCACAAACCACAATGGGAGCATTTTATTTGAAACTGCAGGAATGAAGCCAGACTCCTAAAGCTCACAACATATTTCAAATGAGCAAATTAGGAGATAAACATGATTTCACATCAATTCAAATAATTTAGCATTAGTACTTACATTTTTGAGCCTCCTGCTGCTCTCCTGGGGCCTGTAGAAGACAAGAGGTGTTTGGTTAATCACTCACAGCCTGGGAAAAGCACAATAAAAACAGTGGGCATGTTTTGGGTCACTGTGTGCCCTGGTGAATGAGCTAGAAGGTAAAAGCACAGGCTGGCTCCAGGCAGCTCTATAAAGAATACGCACTGAAAACACATGTACACTCAAACAACCTGATGAACAACAGCCAAGCAACTCTACCAACAATAGCTCCACTCTAAATTGACAGTATATAATTTATGTTAGAAATTCAACAAACAACATAAACAATAAAACAATAAGACACAGTACATGTACTGTGCATGTTCTACTTTTATATCCCTTTCTTGTCCTTGACAGATTATTTATGAGCACTGTCACCTAAGGTTAAGACCAAATACCACATTTCTCTATGTAAAACTTAAATGGAATTTTGAACTTAAGATCCTTGACATCCTGTTGCTGTGTGTATAACTGAGGTATTTCCTTCTCTGATGTTTTGACCAAGGAGATTATATAATACTTGAGCCATTTGCTATCTGAATTGGAGGTCCCATGCTTACTAGCTAAACTTTGACTTGGTTTTACCTGCAGCTTTTATGCCTTAACATAAAATAACATTAAGATAAAACATAAAATAACATCCATCTCCCTAGAGATATAGGTAATACAATAGTACAGACAGTGCAGTTTAGTATTTGGAGTGCCCAGAGTGTTTAATGACACTGGGAGCACCTGGACTGTAGGTACATACCATCCTAACAGTCTCTAATGACACAATATCTATAGAGGACATTCTTACAGAACTAACAATACACTTTCAAAGTGAATAAAATAGGCCTACATTTTTAGCTGTGACAGCCATGATGCAAGATTTATGACACAAGCTACAGAGTTCAACAGCTGAGAGGTTGGAGAGCGATTATGCTAGTCAGCGACCTGTGTGATTTTCAAGCTGTGAACCTGTATGACATGTTCAACTCGCTGAATGAAGGCATTCACTGCTCCCGATAACAACAATTTATTGCTCCAATAAAAGTCGTAAGTGGGGGAAAAAAATATGTGTCTGACATCGGAACAAAGTCCACATTTACAAAGCTGCTGGAAAAAATGTCAAGAACATTCTGTCTTAAACGCTTGTTACCTAATGATAATTTATGAACCCTGAAAAAGTCAAAGAACTCTTTTTTGGGGTGGGAAAAGATAGACTATTTTGGGAACCTCAAGGGTGCATTTTGGTTTTATGTGATCAGCCATTCACTCATGTGAATATGAGGCATTTATTTATCAGCAAATCTTTTGGGAAAAAAATATCAAAAGACATTATCCTATTGTGAAGGCACTGATCTTGAGAGGGAAAGTTAAATCATCAAAATCAGCATTTCTGATCCAATCTGATTAAAGAGAAAGAAAAATAAAAAAGGAAAATTCTGTCATCATTTATTCACTCTCATGTTGTCATGAACCCATATGACTTTCTGTTTTCTGAGGAATGCAAAAAGATCTTTGGAAAAAATATTGTCCTTGCAATTACAATGACTGAACTTTTCCAACATTAAAAACAATGCAAACACACCATCAAAAATAAAAAGCATAATAAAAGTAGTCAGTAACATTTACATTTTGGTTTCCTCTTCACAAAAAGTTATATGTAGTTGTGGCTTTGCAAGATATCCAAATAAAGCCCATGAATATATGGAACACTTTTCTGATACTTTTATGGTACTTTTTAAAATTATTTTGGGGCTTGACAGCCTCTGTTCTAATTCATTATATTGAAAAGAGTGGCCAGTATATTTATTAAAAATTCACTTTAAATATTGACAGTTTTTTTTTTTGTGAACTACCCCTTTAAGTTGTTAGCACTGGGTTATGTAAAAAAAAAAGTGCACTGGTGTTTAATAGCCGCTGTTGCCACTCTTAATTCTCCATCAGAACTGTGGCTGGAACATTCCATTTGCAACAGCTAATTTTTCTACTCAAAACACTGTCAGACATAATCAGAAGACAAAAGCTTTTCAATGGGGTCTCTCTTCACACAACAGACTTGAAATGCTTTGAACTAATGTGTCTAAACAAGTACAAGACTGCGTCAAATTGCTTATAATCACTCGTCTGTTCCCAATGCAAAAAAAAAAAAAAGGTTCTTTGCACTAATGACCGTTTGTGAGAATATAATGTTTGCACTGTTACATTCCAACTAAAGACGACATCAACCTGTTGCATTCTGTAATATTTGTGTGTAATGAACTCAGAATCTAAGCTACATTCCCAAAAGCTGTTGTTTTCGGACAGTTTTAGGGCCTGAAGATAAAGTCATAACAAGTGCTGTACTAGTCCGTGGGAAAGTCACAATGACAATTAGGATGTGTCTCTCTCTCTAAAAACCAAACCATTTCTGTATGTGTGATTATTGTGTCACTTCAAAGTAGAACACAATGGAAGTTTCTAAATGGTACTATGCTGTTTCACTCTAAACAATGTCCAAACCACAGAGGCTTATACAGATGTTGTGAGTGGAAAAAAACAGAATGGTCTATAATAGAGATAGAATATTGCCTACGCATAACCTAAAATACTTACACACGGACAAAGTCAGCCCTCAGTTACACAATATCCAAGGCATATTTCTGGAATTTTCAAGGCTTACATCCGTCTTGAATATGAAATGATTCATGTCCATAAAAATCTGGTAAAGACCTGCCAGTCACTTTTGAGCAATGCAATAAAATGACGCAGCGACAATGGTCGGGCAGGTTCATGACACATCAACACCCATTATTTAAAAAGCCTAATACTAATGGGTGTGTGTGCATAGCTGGGATATTAAGACCTCACAGCCCAGTTCAGTAACATTCAGCGCGTAAAGAATGTTCTTGGTTTTATGAACAAATGCTAATAATGAGTCATGTCAGATTGCATCAATAATTCTTTGTGTCTTTAAATTTTGATGAAGTCTTCACTCACAGCCCTATGATACAACATAAACATTTCAACGGAGGCATCAGCTGTGATTGATTTAAGACTTGATACATTCTCTGAATCACCAGCTATAATCCACAAGTAAGCACTGTCTGTAAAGATACAATTTTCACTAGCCCGATGAGCATGTCGAACAAATGCAGCCCTTGTTTGTCTGCTTACGGCATGGACAATTGAGCAATTCACAATGTACCAGTGTCCCTGTCATGGACACCACTGATGCCATCCAGTGCCACACGCCATTGAGAAAATAACATATTCATTCTCCTACAACTCTTATAAGGAAAATCTTATATTACAGTGCACAACACTGTGAATCTAAACTGTGAGATCTTTTACAATTTCAGCATGCAACAGTGCACCAATAGTACTTCTTTACTGGTCTAAATGGACTTATAATACCATTCAAAACTTTGGGAACAGTACGATTTTTTTAGAATGTTTTTTAAAGAAGTCTTCTATGCTCACCAAGGCTGCATTTATTTGATCGAAAATGCAGTAATATTGTGAAATGTTATTATAATTTAAAATAAGTAACTATTTTAATATATCTGACCCTGGACCACAAAACCAGTCTTAAAGTGGTCATATGATGCTTTTTTAAAGATCATTATTTTGTATATTTGGTGTAACAGAATATGTTGACATGCTTTAATGTTCAAAAAACACATTATTTTTCAAATACTGTACATTATTGTAGGTCCTCTATGCCCCGCCTCTCTCAAACGCTTCGTTTTCTACAAAGTCCCTCCTTCCGACAAGCGCAGTCTGCTCTGATTGGCCAGCTGACCCAGTGAATTGTGATTGGCCGAACACCGCAAGCACTCGTCGGAAATGTAACGCCCCTTACCATAATCGCGAGCTTCATCTTTCAAAATAAATGTAAAGACAGTAAATAATGTCATTAGTTTTACCATCAGTTCAAGCCCGAAAGGGGAACAGAAACAGTAATGATGCAGCACACAAGCTTAAGTAAATATCATGTTCCATGAAGATATTTTGTAAATTTCCTACCGTAAATACTGTATATAAAAACCTAATTTTTGATTAGTAATATGCATTGCTAAGAACTTCATTTGGACAACTTTAAAGGCGATTTTCTCAGTATTTAGATTTTTTTTCACCCTCAGATTCCAGATTTTCAGCTGTGCAGCTTACATTTTTGGATTTTTTTTCCCAGGTTTGTTTTGATGAATTCAACTGCCAAAAGAACAGCATTTATTTGAAATAGAAATCTTTTGCAACACTATGAATGTCTTTACTGTCATTTTCAGTCTTGCCGAATAAAGGTATTAATTTGTTTACTTAAAAAAATTATACTGACCCTAAACTTTTGAACGGTAGTAAATTTAAATCTAATAAGAAGAAATATAACATTCAGCATATCCATTTTCCAGTATTTTTCCACTTAAATACAGCTAAAAATATCCAGCAGCCAACCTCAAGCAAAGCATCTGCATGTACTAAGAGAAGAGAAGTGGTTTATCTGGGAATCAGTTCGGCGCTGGAGCATGAGATGATGACATCGGCGGTTAATAAAAACACTATTGTTAATGCCACACTGTTTAACTGCTGTAAAACCTCTGAAACAGATACAGAATGATATTAAGCCAGATCATTTGTGATCACATTTCTTTTAAGATTAATTTGGCCCTATATGACTCCTCTTGAAGTTAATAACTGATGATTGTCCATAATTATTAACACTGTCTCAAATCAAAAAGTGAGGTTTTATCAACACTCTAAATCACTAAAATGCACAACTCTATAAACCAGAGTTGCCAAGTCCGCATATTATACGTGACTTTGGGCTTCTTTTTTTGTAAAGTTGAGTGAAAAAATGCCGGGTTGCGGTTTTTTGGGCTTATTTAAAAAAATATGGTTGCTTGTTAGGGAAATCTGACAAGCAACTTTGTTTCTTTATTTACTTCGTTTGACTTTCTTTTAGCCTAATTTTTAATTTTTACAATGTTTTTGTAATGTATTAATTATCACGGGCTGTAATAAAAAACAAGTAGTCCTATACTAGTACTAAAAGTATATACATTTGGTTCGAATAGCCTATATTTTAGTAGGCTATAAATATGTGGCTATGTTACAGCTCCCCTTTGAAGCTCTTGTGTTTTTCTCCTTTTCCATCTCTCCAATCCTATTCTGCTCACTGGTGATTGGAGATGAGTTTTGTTCCCACTTTGTTGCAGATTGCTGATTTTTGTACAATAACTTCTGTTTTTGCTTTTCAGATAAAAGAGTGGTTTCAGTTTAATATGTTGCAGGCTCATTTATTGGTAATAAATAATTGATAATAAATAATACTGGGCTTGTTTTGGGCTTGTTTTTGAAGCTGCGGTTGCTTATTTATCTTGCGAGAGTTGGCAACAGTGCTATAAATCACTGAAATGCAGGAAGAGATTCTTTATCATTGACTTTATGTAATCACTAGTAACATGCCAATACATTCACTGGATGAGACAATGACAAAACACAGAGACAAAGTTCACACAACTACAGTGACATCAAGTAATTAAATCTTCTGAACCCCCACTAGTCATAGTGGTCACCTACCATCAAATGTCTTACCCATTCCATGACAAAATTTCAATCCTGTGTTTATGAGAATATTTATAAAGAAGTATGTTCAATACATCCTACTTTTACACAGCACTAACAAAAAAACGAATCTGCCACCAGTACCTGGACAACAGTAGTCATGAAAATCACACTTATGTTGGACTTAAGTCCTGTTCATCATTTAAGTTATTTTTACAGTTCAAGAAAAAGAACTTGAAATTAAATAAATGTTACTTGAAATAAAATAAATGTCAACTGAAATGAAATATTAAAAACTAATATGTATGTAAAATTTTCAATGAGGTTAACTTGATGTAGTAAAATAACTAAAACTGAAATAAAAATGAAAATCAATCTATTAAAAAAAACTAATAAAAATCACAAATAATAACAAAATTGCTAACATTTGAACTAAAATGAAAAGAAAACAGAAAATATATATAAAAACTAATTCATGTTGGCATTTTTTTTTAAAAACAAATGATAAAATTATAAAACACTGGTGACTGGTGTAATTTGCATTATTCATTTAAATAATTTTGAATATTCAAATGATATAATAAAATAAATCATATTTTATTAATTTATAATTTTATATACATAAACTAATCCCAAACTTTTGATTGGTAGTATATATATATATATATATATATATATATAGTAAATAAGTAGTATTAGTATATAAGTAAACATTGTTTAGCAGATGTTTAGCAGACATAAACAGGCCATGAAATGAGCAGCTGTTGTGCTGGAAGAGGCTGCCTGAGGGACAGATGACCTGGAGTTGTTTCCCTCTCTGAGACACTTGCTTTTCATGGACTGATGAGTAATAATGAATGCAGGCCCTGCTTATCTCAAGCCTATCGGCAATAGGCTGCAATATCTCCTCACGTTGCCTTCTGTGTGACTATGAACATTCTGCGTCAAACTCCACAAGGGCTATAAACCTTGGATCAGTGTGAGAGATCTCACAACTTTAACGTAGCGTACAAACTATGCCCTCACATTGCAGAAGGTTTACTGCCATCTGTATTAGCAGTTGGTGAGAGAGCATTGAAGCAGGAAAGCGGCACAAACAATGTATCGCTTCAGAACACACACACAAAAAAAAGCATTGCATTTGCTAGAATGATTTGGCAAGGGTCGGGTATAAAAACTCTTAAAAACAAGCCCTACCAAATATCACTGTTGGACAGTGCTGAGCAGGTCTAGTCTAATGCTTGACCAGCTTACAGTTAGTATATGCAAACTGCACAGCCTACACAAACCCGCAACAGAGAATACCAGCCAAAACGTAATGTAAACACAAACATGTTCCTGAAGGATGTAAAGTTACACCAAGAGAACGAAGGAGAAAACAAACTATAAAAAGTAACAGTCAGGAATCATATCACTGCTGCACTTCATCTAGTGTCAAAAAGTGACCTTTCAATTCTAAAATTAGGACCCCCCTGGAACACTTCTGACAAATGCCTGTCAGTGGACGCAGATAAACCCTCACTTCATGCTCACACATAGCCACAAACACACACCCTCAGACATGTACAAGTGGAGTGAGTGATTATAATTATAGCCTATAGGGATTGGATGAGTCCTGTTTAACCAGAGCCTCTGTACGGTTGCCATGGCACTGAGGGTGTGGCATGGTAACCGTCATGCAGTGAGGCTCGCTTTGTTTAATCTCAGTGTCTGACGGCGCTGTCACTTTAGCTGAGGTAACAATGACAGGATAGATAGAAACAACCAGCCCTCCCTTGCCATATTCAAAGCAGTCTTATCAATATGGGCAGGTTGATTTTACATATTTGAATCATTAATAATTTGTATGTGACATGATACAGCTTTGATAGGTCACAATGGTCCAAAACACACCAATAATTTGTGCTGTACTAGTTCAAGCCAGAGCTGAACACACCTTAGTCAAATGAAGCAGTTCACGGGATCAACCATCAGAAAACAAAAGAACACGATGAAAATCAATCGCAGACAGTCCACTAAAAGAATAGTTCACCCAAAAATGTTCTTGTTGTTCCAAACTCTTCAGTTTTTTCTTCCTTAAAACACATTACTTGAATTTTTAAAAGAACATTGTTAGATCTTTTTTTTTAACTCATTAAAGTGAATGAGAACTGAAGCTGCCAAGCTCCAAAATGACAAAAAAGCACCATAAAGCTATTCAATTAAATGATTAATGTGGTTCAGACTGTGACTTGTGTGGTGTATTTCTTAAGTCTTCTTCTGAGGTCATATTATAAGCTTGTGTGAGGAACAGACCAAACTTAAGTCGTTATTCACTGAAAAACTTGACATTCGACATTCACCTTGCCAGGTTCATGATAGTTCCTAAGAGCTTATGGGAGTATAGTGCTTCCCAATTCATGAATGAATCTTTTTAGTGACACTGATGAATTAGGTCATAAAAGCGGTCTGAATGATTCATTTACAAACTGAACTGATCCAGTTTTCAGGTTCAACTCACTGACTCAATTATCTGGTTAACAATCCACTGATGGAGAAGATTGTCAGTGAATGACCGATCTGTTAGTCACAGCTGTCGTGTAACTCCAAAAGACTTGGAAAATAGCACACAAGTCAAGCAAACTACTTTTTATTACTTTTATGGTCCTTTTACTTCCTTTTTTGAAGCTTGAAAGCTTTAGTTCCCATTCATTGAAACTGCAACCAGCACATTATTCAAAATAACTCCTTTTTTGTTCAATAGAAGACAAAGTCAGGTTTGGAATGAGATGAGGGTAAGTAAATGATGACAAAATAATTTTCTGTGAACTGTTGACAAATGTTCTAGTTCATTTAAGTGACTTGTAAAATATAATAGCCTAGTACTTCTTAGTGGTTTTGTTTGCAAATATCAAAGTGCTATTGCGGTGATGAACATGTTAGAGCTGGACTGACAGATCTCACGACGTAAACATACAAGACACACCTGCGAGAATATGAACAGGTTGATCAACATGCCATGTTTTTCCACCCTGGTCACAGGTATGGGCTGAGCCAAAACACTGAATATAATAATAATTCACTTATAATAATATAGCATGATTACAGCTAGCAGATGACATAAACGCCTGCGAGTGGCAAATTTACCCACAGCACACATGCAGAAACTCCTTTATCTCTCTTCATCTCGGATTTACACATACACAAGCCAATTGTCAGCTTCTGTTTCAGCGATAGTGAGAGTTTATACTTCACTGATGAGGGTGATTCTGCTCTTTTAAGATCAGATTATAGTTTCATTGCAACTCACCTCTGCTCTGCTTCATTTATTGACTCTTCTCTAACTTTCATTTTTTTTCACTTGACAAAAGGGAATATTTAATTCATGACTTTCATTTAATATTCAATTCATTTTCACAATCAAAACAAGCTCATACAAGCCAGGCATGATTGCATGATAAACGTTATAAAGCTATTATGTCAACAACCACAACACGTCTCATAAAGATATTAAAAATAACCATTCACATGGAGTCTCATACGTTGAATTTAAATAGGCTTGGTAATACAAGCCTGATTTACAAAAGTATGTGGATATGAGACCAGAGGACAATAAGATCTGCCAAAATCACCAACCAGTGAGCCATAAACAGTGGTTGGACACATTCTGTTACAGCTAAACCACTGCTATTTTTACATTGGTGAAGGGTCTAGCATATTACCGAACATACAGAACAACAGAAAACCAAAACTTACTTGACAGTCACACGTGTGGATAAGTCTTGCAGGTCTCCTGGGTGGAAAAGCTGAGCCTCTTTTAGTCCAAGCTTTGCACAGGCTTTTAAGAAGAGGTTGATGTTGTCCTGTCGACAGAGAATGTGTGTCCACCTTGTGAGTTAGACAGCAGTCATATGGGAACTCTTTGGCACACAGTCCAGAAATCAATGCATCCAAAGTCCAGTGAGCTGAAGCAGTGGGAGGAGATGAAAAAGGGCAGGTGGCAAATAAAAAGTGACAACACAAGAGCAAAGAATGAAGGCAGGAACGTCACTGATTGACCTGTGACAGTACCTGTGAGAGCAGGAGTTTGGCTTCGGGGCAGTGCAAAAACATGACAGAGAGTGTCAACTCCACTAGTCCCCTCCCCCACACATGTACGGCAGTCACACAAACACACACACAGGTTTGTTTTTGTGAATTGTGGGGACATTCCATAGGCGTATTGGTTTTTATACTGTACAAAATGTATTTTCTATTGCCCTACACCAACCCTACATCTAAACCTACCCCTTGCATGAAACTTTCTGCATTTTTAGATTTTCAAAAAAACTCATTCTGAATGATTTATAAGTCTTTTGAAATATGGGATATGGGGACACTCAAAATGTCCTCATAAATCACCTTCTCGTTGTAATACCCATGTAATACCCATCTCATTATACAAATTTGTGTCCTCATAAATCACAAAAACGTGCACACACACACACACACACACACACACACACACACACACACACCCTTTTCACTCGCTCTAGACTAACCCAGACACATACCTACAAGTGCACAAACATATAAACTCAAGCATACTCTCCCTTTTCACACCCAGAAACCGCCACTCAAATCTCTCAGCAGAATATTTGAGGAATCTTCAGGGCGGTGGATTATTTTGGAGATGGGGTTGCCATGAAACACAGGTGACTGAAACGACAAACTATTTCCCCCAAGCAAGTGTTAAAATCGCTTGGTGGGTGGGTAGGGAAATGCTTAAACAAAGGAAACTTAAGATCGTGTGTGTGTGCATTCACATACACATCCAGTATTTTGATGAATGCAGACTATCATGGCACTGGTGTTGAGTTATGATGACATAATTTCAATTAGATTTGATCAACCATCTGGAAGACAGGTTCAGAGCGTGCAGCCCACCCTTTCCTGCTTTCCCGCTTGCTCTAAAATAATCACAGGGTGTTCTGGTCTATATTTAAACAGCAAACATGCTTATTAGCAGATGGCAATGAGGAGCTCCACTTCTGAATTACCTCCTTGCTTAAACTGTTAAATCCTGAGGCATAGGGTCAAAGGTGTTTAAAGGTGACAAATGCGTTCTTCTGAAATGCAGTGCACAGAAAATGGATGTCAACAAGATGTCTCTTAGCGTTCTGTCCCTCAAACAAATTCTCACACTCCCAACAGCTTGACCAGTGTCCTTAAAGGGATAGTTCACCTTCAGTTGCTGGTCCCCATTGACTTCCATAGTATAGAAAAAAAAACCCACTATGCAAGTCAATGGGGACCAGCAACCGAAGGCGAACTATCCCTTTACCCTTTAACCTAAACTTATGTAAATTAGATAAGTAAGATATGAAAAAGTTCCGCTAGTCACCTGTTTACCTGAATACCTGAATGCTAAATGTCTTGGAGCAGGTGGCTAGGAACAAACAGACTCTTACATGTAGGTAATTTTAAATTCCCAGTAAAGGTTAAACAATTTGTAAACAGGACACATTAATCAAACCATTAATATGTGTAAGTAATTTTGCACAGATAGCTTCGGGACAGTGACATAATCTCTGGCTAGAGTGTGTCAGATACCTCTACCTATAACAATATCACCTTGCCACAGCAGAATACTTCAAATGTATTAAATTTAAGTTTAGTTATTAGATTTCACACAACACAACAGTTACAGGTTCAGTCCCAACTATATGTGACACTGGTTCTATAACTTTTGTGTCCTTGAACAAGGCAGCAAACCAAGGTGAGCGTGATTTCACCAAGTACAACATGTTCCTGGATCAACATCCTTGTTAATCCTGGAACAACATTCCAATCAACCAATCAGAATTGAGATATAACTTTTCAGGAAATATCTGTTTTAGGCTTACAATCAGGGTTAGGTGCTTCTACACCCTTGGTAATCAGCTATCATTTCCCACTGATTTTAGGAATAAATTATGGGTAGGGTTAGGTTTAGGGGTAGGGACTGAGTTAAGTCTATATTTTTGGACAATAATGTTGATCCAGGATCATCAAAAGATGTTGATCCAGGAACATGTCTTGGCAAAATCACGGCGACCCCAAACCAAGGTTGCTACAATCAGCATACTTTACATTGATTTAAAAGTCTACGCTTAATAACATATAGAGTATTACTAATTATAAATAAACAGAATACATGCATTTATGTGAATGTTTTAGTGAAAAGGAATTTGGCAAAAACAGAATACTAAGTACTGGATGTAAACATAACACAGAGTCTTAAAATTGCATAGCTTTGGATCAAACCAACTGTTCTTTTCAAAGAAGATCAAACCAAAATTATTTTAATTCACTTAAAGCAAGTTTTAACATTCATTAGTTAGCATATCAGACTTAATCTCAAGAACCAAATCATGCAGACATAATGATGCAGAAAGAATGTCTAACTTTACAGTCAGTGCACGTAATCCTGTCAGAAATTCTCATTTAGTGATTACAATCCTCTAACAAAACTATCAAGCCTCCTGATAAACACTGTTTTGCGACTGCTGGTTGGTTGATTGATTATGATTTAAGAATTTCAAGCTGTTGTAAACCATTCATTCATATTTTATCCATCAAAGTATGTAATCTACGCTAAAGTAAATTCTTGTGATAAAGTATGTCAGCAGAGCGGAGAGTTCTTATATGCAACATGTGGTTTTCATTAAACTATTATGGAGAATATGGAATAATGTGCCAGTTCATTAAAAATGTAACACTTACACATTATGGGTTTAATAAAAGTAAATAATATAATATAAATACTTAAATGCACGCTTTTAAGAGCAAACAAGCCTGGTGGCCTGCGGAAAATTCTATTCAAATATTCAGTTCTGCCAATTCTCCTTTCACAGTGGTGAGACCCATTGCAAATATATCCATCCAGCTCAGTTATGGGGGGTTTATGAAGGGCTATGCTCTAAGAAGATGTTGATCCAGGAACATGTCTTGGCAAAATCACGGCGACCCCAAACCAAGGTTGCTACAATCAGCATACTTTACATTGATTTAAAAGTCTACGCTTAATAACATATAGAGTATTACTAATTATAAATAAACAGAATACATGCATTTATGTGAATGTTTTAGTGAAAAGGAATTTGGCAAAAACAGAATACTAAGTACTGGATGTAAACATAACACAGAGTCTTAAAATTGCATAGCTTTGGATCAAACCAACTGTTCTTTTCAAAGAAGATCAAACCAAAATTATTTTAATTCACTTAAAGCAAGTTTTAACATTCATTAGTTAGCATATCAGACTTAATCTCAAGAACCAAATCATGCAGACATAATGATGCAGAAAGAATGTCTAACTTTACAGTCAGTGCACGTAATCCTGTCAGAAATTCTCATTTAGTGATTACAATCCTCTAACAAAACTATCAAGCCTCCTGATAAACACTGTTTTGCGACTGCTGGTTGGTTGATTGATTATGATTTAAGAATTTCAAGCTGTTGTAAACCATTCATTCATATTTTATCCATCAAAGTATGTAATCTACGCTAAAGTAAATTCTTGTGATAAAGTATGTCAGCAGAGCGGAGAGTTCTTATATGCAACATGTGGTTTTCATTAAACTATTATGGAGAATATGGAATAATGTGCCAGTTCATTAAAAATGTAACACTTACACATTATGGGTTTAATAAAAGTAAATAATATAATATAAATACTTAAATGCACGCTTTTAAGAGCAAACAAGCCTGGTGGCCTGCGGAAAATTCTATTCAAATATTCAGTTCTGCCAATTCTCCTTTCACAGTGGTGAGACCCATTGCAAATATATCCATCCAGCTCAGTTATGGGGGGTTTATGAAGGGCTATGCTCTAAGGAGTCATCTCTCTGTTAAACATCAGGCCAAAGCCCTGCCAGAATGTCTTTTCTAATGTGGCCGACCAGTGTGCCACACAAGTGTAGGCTTCCTCTCTTCAAATTGTTAAAAGGAGGATCAGCTATCCAGGGAAACACAAGGGTAAACCACGGCTCAGGGTTTGATGGAACTATGGGAAAGTGATCCAGAGATCAGCCGAAGCCAAACCCTGAGTAGAGTTTAGTGATCCAAAGCCAGAGTCGCTACACAGTCCACAAAACCAGAGATTTCCGCTCTTGCACTAATGAGCCTTGATTTAACAAAATATAAAACCTCTGTATTAGAATGAAACTGTGTCGAACAAAAGCAAAGCAGCCAGAAGGAACAATAATGGTGCTGGTAAGATTTCAGAGCCTTGAATGAGCCTTTCATTCTGTGGAAAAATATCTTTCATCGGTCATAAACATAGCTGGATAAGAGCATTGTGTTCTTTTGCATCTTACAGTTTGCTGGAAGCTCAGGAACAGCTCTCTTACAGACAAACTTGACAGGCTCAGCAGTATTTAGCAAAACTAAAATATACTCCAAACTGTGTTTTTCTTCGCATGCCTTTGCTTAGCCCTTGCCATGTGAGGCCACAATTGTGAGTTTAGGCTGTGCTTGGTAGGTTTTGGGGTTGGAAGTGTTTTATGGAAATACCGCTGTGATGCTGTTGTACATGCAGATGCTTGTCCAAGTTTACCTGGGTTTAAAGGGCAATGGGAAATAAATGAGCATGTTTTGCATATATTAGACCAAAACAGCTTCAATAAAAACAGCTTAATCAGGCCCATATGCCACTTGTCTATGCTCTCGAGTTAAAAAAAATCCACAAAAAGTGTTTTTTTTTTTTTTACAAATTGTCATGAGACAACTGGATGATCCAGCTACTCTTCTCCACATGCATATGGATTGTTCATAATGGAAAAATTACAGCGCTTACTGTTTGGAAATACTGTATGGTGGCAAATGATTCCTATTAAATACCAAGTATAAGTAAATGATCAACCCTGTGCAATTCACACTTAACACCCTTGTACAAATAAACCGTTTAGAAAATAATTCAAACTTCTTTGTAAGAGTTAAGGTTCTTAGCCAAGGTGGAATACTACAGTTCAAATAATATATGCATGTCAAAGTACAAATAATAATAATAATAATAATAATAATAATAAACGTACCAGGCCAGCAATAGGTGTGGCTAATCTGTTTAGTTTCTTGACGACACCAGGCCTGATCTTGTTGATCAGACTAGAAAGAGAAAAACAGAACAAAAGTCAACACAAATAATTATATCGTGTGTCGGTTGCCAGTTTATGGCTTCCTTTAATTCTGACCATCTGGCTTCAGTTTACAAAGCCATCTAATGCCCTGGAGAAAATGCAAACAACTCTCTGTGGAAACAGACATCAGTCAATAGCCTCTAAGTCTAGTTGTGTGTGAAAAACTGGTTTGGAGAAATACACATTAAACATTGAATTGCACAATCAAAGGTGTGCAGCTGATCTAACAAGGAGTGAAGAGCATGAAATATAATATGTGAGAAACTTGATTTCTGGCAGTTTTGGTTATGTGTAATAAAAGGAGAGGCAGCCATTAACATTTTAATGAATTGAATCACATAGTGTACCTTCTCTTTTTTAGTGACATAAAATTACTTGACTTTCTTTCTTCAACCACAGAAAAAGGAAAGTCATACAGGTTTGGAACGACATGAGGGTGAGTAAATAATGATGGAATTTACATTTATAGGTGAACTCTTTAAGGAAATAACAGAGCTGCCATTTTTCTTAACAATATGTATGTTGGCAATATCTTCCCTGTTTGTGATCTTTAAAACACTAAAAATGTGTATCCTGCACAACCACACTGAAAAACCTGTTCGCACACCTATGGAGCATTTGTACACTCTTTAAGTTCAAGTCAAGACTTTGTTGTGCCGACCCCAGCGGTAGTTTCACAGGAGTCTTTGTTTAGACATGAGATCCAGAGTGACAGTATCCTCAGGTAATGTGTGCCTTTGTCCGCTCATGTGGAAATGGCAAAGCTGATAGCTTAGTACAGACTGTAAGAAAGCAGCATGAGAGTGCAGGAGCAGGACGGTGAGATTCTGCACTGGACTGTGGTAATTAGTCTGCTGAGTCACTCGATTGACACCAACATGTCAGACAGGCCCACGCACTGCCCCAGAACCTTCCAGTCAGGTTCAAAAATATGCTGAAATCCCTGAGCTTGCAGCATGTCACACCCAGTCCACCGACCCAACGCTCTCTTTACATAAACAGCACAACAGAGCTGCTGTAGAAGAGGCCCGAGTGCCGCCACTCCCTATGTGCCTGCACTCTGCCCTGCTCAGGTTTCTGAACCCAGCTAGAGTAGCTGGCACTATGGATCACCTCTTCCCAGCTGTCCTATTAAATGCTCTGCCATCTGTGCTGTTTTCCTCTGCTGGGCTTACTAATGCTTCCTGGGATGGAACAGAGTCTGACTGTGGCAGCCGGGTACAAATTATGTGTTTTAATATAGCTGCATGACATAATGCACATTAAATGACACACAGCTTAGATGCAAATTCCAAATGAAAAAGTTCAGGTTAGCTTGCATCACATTTCAGCCAACAGGTAAAATATTGTTACAGTGCATAATAGAAAAGTAGTTAAAGGGATAAGTCCAACATACAGTAAACTCAATGGAAAAATGTGCCTCAACCTGCATTTTTGCAAGTCCAAAAAAAAACACAAAAAAAACCCAACCCCTTACCTATACATTCAACTGAAATGAACACTAGTGGTACTAAAAAAAATACAACAACTTTTATTCCTTTTCACACAAATTATGATTACAGGGGCAGATTCGCAATCATATAATCAATAATATAGATTTATTTTCACTCAGTTCCTTGTACATTACTATGTTATGACCTCAAACACAGTGCATGATTTGCAAACTAATTCATTTTGACATTTACATCTCCATATGTTTGGCTTTTCTGACATAGTAAACTTGCTCGGTAACTCCCCTGGTACAGCATTGCACTTGCGATGTGGAGACTTGTAGGTGGGCTAAAATGGTAAAATGGTTGCTTGTTTTTATATCACACTTGCTTTTATTAACATTATCGATTAGTTTTATGGTTGGGTTTAGTCTAGATGGCATATTACTTTCAAATGCGATACAGCATTAACCTTTTAGTGCCACTAAGCGGACATTTCATTTCTGAATTGGCGAACTGTACAACCACCAAAAAAATTAAACGTTGCCAGATTTCACCTTCATCTGCCTGGGTTGGATAGTTCAGAAGCCCAAATCCATATGAATGTTTTCTTCTATAAATCACAAGATATTTTGAAGAATGTTTTAACTGTTTTTGTTTTTGACTGAAAGTCAATGGGGTCCAAAATTACAAGCAACAAATAAGACTTAAAAGAAACATAAACGTTAATATTATTACTTAACATCCTGACACAGGCACCAATGAGGTGTTATTGATATGTCGCCATATTAGATTTAGGCATGCATATCCATGAGCTGATCAATGTTTCGATTTGATTTGAGATTGAATTACCACATAATTTTTGTTCTTTACATCATACAAAGTGAACCTTTTTGATCCAGGACACTTGAATTAAACCATGAGTTGTATAGATTACTTTTACATATATGCACATATATTTTGTTCAATGGAAGAAAGAAATCATACAGGTTTGGAACAACATGAGGATGAGAAAATGAAAACAGAATTTGTATTTTTGGGTTAACTGTCTCTTTAAGAATTACATTATATTATGTTAGTATGCACGAAGCAGTTATGCAATAGTAATTATTAAAAGCAATAATAAAAGGTATAGCCACAAAGTTATAGCAGAAACCGTGTCATGCATTAAGCAAGAAAAACATAGTAAAAATGAGAGAAGAACAAGTAAAAACAGCTTTACTTACTCACACAACAGAAGTCCATTTTCCAGAGAACTCCGGAAATTACTGCTCCCAAACTTCTTCTTAGTGACTGCCTGCGAGATGAGGACAAACACAGGAAGCACTAAGAACCAGTGAGTGGGAAGTTTAGGATGTCCAGGGAAATGAGAGGAAAGTTGTTCTTCCAAGCTTCAAGTCCTAGAGACTAGCACACCAGTACAACAACACAGTCTCTTTTGGAGAATCGGGGGTTACTCAGTAATCAGGGCTGGAGTTCAGCGGCCAAACCACAGAGAACGAGAGCATCTGGAGGAATGTCACAGTTCTACACACAGTTTCATGCCTTTCCAATGATCTCAAGCTACTACTGCAAGACACAGAGGGCAGGCAGCCCATTGTTTTTGCTCACACACAGGGAAGCATTTATTTTGTGTTTATACCCTCAGACTACACCGTTACATTGTGAGCCCTGTTGTTCCACACCTCATATAACATGATCTATGAGTAAAGCCCTTTTTCTGAATACAAATGTTTTCAATTTCCAAGTTTCAATGCCAGTAAAAACAGAGTTGCTCATTTAGCTTTCATGAGACAACATCATTATGAGTAATACTTTAAGTATTTTATAATATGCTACTGGTCTAAAAAACATCACATTTAAGAAACTCGGCTAACTAAGAAAAAAAATCAGGCCATACAGAAATCTTGAGATGTCAAAGTGTAACCACTTATCAATAACATGAAGTCTGTTGTTTAGAATAGCACACTCTTAAGCTGCTTTTACTTGGCTGTTGCCCAGGAACATGGCATGAATTCAGAGGGTGTGGAGAGCCTACATGTAAAAGGACACTGGTTATGTTGAGATCAGTATTGACTGAGATTTGAACCGCAATTGTTCTCTTTTAGAAGCAGAATTTCAAAGGGCACTTCCTATGTCTGCTGAACAAAACAAGGACAAAAATAATGTGTGGACAAATACTATCCTCATATTAGATCGAGTTACACTGATCATTTAAACAGGAATTTTGTATCCCCTGTCACACTGATATAAATCTTTAGTCTTATCATAAGTCTAGAAAACTAATAAGATTATCTTCTAATATGGCCAAAAAGGTCCATTATGTATCAGAATACATAATATTAAATAATATTAAAGATCACATTATTTGGCACAGAATGACGAATAACTTCCTGTACCCTTCATGTAGATTTATGTAACCATTACAAACCCTCACAGATATGGATTGTGAAGAGACAAGAGGTTAATCATATGGAGCACATTCACACAGCATTGTGCAGTAAACATCAGAGTTCAATGACATATGAAATCCTGACCCCTGCTGTTCCTGTCATTGTAATGTCCATGATAGTTTTTTTGTTTTTAAACAGATCTCTGTAGCAGGTGAAGGATCATTTGAGAGCTTGAACAAATCACTTATATAACCAATAAACAAATTAACAACAACAAAAAAACGAATAAATAATACAATTAAAACACAAATAAATAAAGAAATAAATCCACTCTGCTCTGCAAATTTGAATTTATTTTGGGAGTCCTCCTTACCTAATAATCTTGCATTGCTGTAATCCACTATAATTTAATGTCGGAAGAAGGTACTATTTATTAAATGTAATAGAATATAGTATTGTAATAGGAAAAATTGATTTATTTAAATAAGAATGATTTATTCAGCAAAAATCCATTACAATCACAGTTGAAAAAAGCAGCACAACTGTTTTCAACATTGACAATTATAAGAAATGTTTTCTGAGCACTAAATTAGCACATTGCAATGATTTTTTGAAGGATCATGTGACACTGAAAAATGGCTACTGAAAATGTATCTCTGCCATCACTGGACTAAATTACATTTTTTAAATATATTAAAATAGATATTCTAAATAAAATAGTTATTTTAATTTGCAATAATATTTTACTATTGTTTTACTGTATTTTTGATCAAATAAATGCTGCCTTTAAAAAATAAAAACACACATACATTAACACATAAACAATTAAAAATTAAACCGTTTCACATCCTTACCTCCACATATCATCCATTCTACTACCAACTCCCCCAAACTGTTTGTTAGTTAAGCTCACATTGTGACCGCACTCATTTAAATAGAATGTTTTGATGATGTAAGACATGATTTTTATTCAGCTGCACTTTTGCACACAGCTATTGTTCATTCATGAAGGAGCAATGAGGCATTCCAAGCTGTTTGCACGCACAGAATGCTGCACAACGTTAATTGTGCCAAAGTGCTTTAATCCCTTTGACCAAACAGGGTCTGCTGAACATGAAGAAATTTTGGGGAGGAAATGCTCAACACACCTCTGGGGTCATTTCAGGCTAGAAACAACAGCCAGGATAACTAATAGATGTTTCATTTAAATCTGTAAACAAATGCTTTTTAATTTTCTAAAAATTATTTCAAATTTACTTAATTTTAACTTCAAATTAGATGACCCACATTTACTTCAACATTAATAACCATTCAATGATCACCAGTGAAATGAAGTGAGATTAAATATTAAATGTATAATAAATGAACTTTAAACTACTTTCTAAGTATTTAATATGATTTCACTGCAAGAATTATGTAGCCACAGTGGCTAATGACAACTTTCTACTCTTAGATATACTAAGCAACTTCAGAAGGATGGCTAATTTTAGGTTTGACTTTAATAAGCTGAGAACTACCCCGGAGGAAAAACAGGAATGTCTCTGCCCACAGACCGGGTGCCTGGTGCAAGAATGAGCACATGTGACAAACTCCGGATCATTCAGCTGACTATAACACCCTACACACTCAAACACTCAGACTCCAGCACTGCTCAGTGCGCCCTCACGCCTGACAACCCGTTAGTCATTCAGATCGGATGCTAAACGGCACATCACCTTCCTCTGCAGGGGAGCAATCGGCTTGGGGCTGAAACTGCCCTGCCAAGGTCCACTGCCTGTGACAATGAACCAGTGTGCATGTGTGCGAGACTGATGTCACACTGAAAGCATTCAGATTCACCCCTCATGAATTAAGAACGATATTTGTTCAGTTACAGCCAGTGCTTTGGCCCTGCCATCTCCTGCTGAGAAGGGAATTCAGAAGGATAGGAAAGTCCTAATCATTTGTGCCCTAGACTAAAAGCGTTCCAGAGGGTTTAGAGGAATAAACCGAGTAAAGCGTGTGAAAATTGTTGCAGGACTACTTTCCACAGTGAGCTTGACGGAAAAAGAAAATAGATCTGTTTTTTGAGTTCTTTAAAGGGATACTCCACTCAAAAATTCAATTCTGTCATCATTTACTTTCCATCGTTTCAAATTATATGACTTTGTTTCTTCTTTGGAACACAGATATTTGGAACACAATATATTTTGACAGAATGTTGGTAACTAAACATGTTGGTCCCACTGACTTCCATTGTATGGACAAAATAATACATTAAAAGTAAATGGGAACCAAAACTGTTGGGTTTCCAACATTTTACAGCATATCTTCTTTTGTGTCCCGAAGTAGAATTCAAGTCATTCAGGTTTGGAACGACATGAAAGGAAGTATAAAAAGACATAATTTACATTTTGGGTGATCTATCCCAAATCCCTATGGACAGTGATATAAAGTGTCACAGGGTACTAGAAATGTTACACTAAATGTAACCTTTATTTATTTTATTTATTTATTTAAATACACACTTAAATACTGACAAAACTACCAATGCAGCGTTTAGCAAAAGTAAAAGTCAAGAAGCTGAAAAGCAAAAGAGGAAGCTGAACTTATTACAAATATGAGATAAACATAACCATCAAAACATACCTACTTATTACAATTTTGCATGCAGCACCAAATGTTATATTTTTGCCAGGTTTTACAAATGATCATAAACACGAATTCAACAGGTCTGGGTGTATTCAGCACGAGTTAATGAATCGAATCAGTGCCTTTTCATTTTGGCTACCTCAGTTTGGCAGCATCAAGTGTCATTTCCCTGAACTATCTACATCTAACTGAGAGCAGGTGTGGAAGTTCTTACCTCAATCCATCTCTGTGCTTCTGAGTAAGCAGCCTCGTAACCCACTGCAGACTGCGGTCGCCACTCCATCACCGGCTTTTAAGTGCACTTCTTGGTAAGGCTGTAAGGAAACAGGCGTCTACGCTGCAAAAACGCGAGCAAGACGAGCGTACAGTTAAACCGCGAGCGTTCTGTTCTGCCGCGTCGCGTGAATATTTTTAACACTACCTGGTTTCTTAAAAACTGAAGTCAGCAGGTAAACGCTTTTTGTATTCGTCTACCAGTATCACAACTATCACTCTGTCGAACGTCAACGAGCAAAGATCTTATAATTCCGTAAAATCTTAAATCTCCTCTTGTCCTTTTATTCCTGAGAAACTTTAGTTGCGTAGTGTACTTTATACGCCCCCTAGTGCGTCAAGACACACACCTAAACTACTGCCAGATTACATTACAGGTGCCGAGGGCACAATAAAGCTCCTTTGGGGGAAAAAAACACTAATGTCTGTAGATTTAGTTAAATACGTGTTTACAAGTAGACTACACACGGGATCTACACAAGTAAATCTACACAGGCAGATCAAATGGAACTCAAGCAAAGATTTACAAGACAGTTTTGATTTAATTTAAATAGGCTACTTAATTAAACCTATTTTATTATTTAGATTTTTCTAGTGTAGGACAAGTAACTACTGTAGTAAATACATAAATAAGGGATAGATTTCGGTCAGCTGGTTATGATGTTAAAATGATTTTAACTAAATAATTTTATTATGTGAGAATAAAAATACCAGTGTCCAGAAATGTGGAGCCAATCAAAACTTTATTTTGCAATAATAACCAGCTGACCGTACATTATCTACTTTTTAAATGGTTATTTACCAAACAGTTCACTAAAAAAGAAGATAGAAAGAAAAATCACAGCTACAGTATATAAGCAAAGCTTTCCTGATTTCCCCTGCACAACAGTCATTATTCATTCCACTGAATGCTGCAACTGAGCAATCAGAATCAAGTATTCAAGAGGAGGCATGTATTGTAATACATTGCACAAAAACAAATAAATATTTATCTTAAATATAACTATACTTAATGTCTTAAAATCAAATATAAATCTGAATCAATTATTTTTAACAAATTTATTTTTAGAGAACTTTGCTGTTTGGAAAAAAAACATTTGGATGTAAACAAAAGATGCACATTAATCATTGCTTGAGTATTCAGAGAGTGCACTATTGTCACTCATAATACAGCAATGAGGTCACCATGAGATGAAAACATTGGAAATTTGTTCTTTATTGTTTTAGTCTCATCTGAATTTTTTTGCTGTATTCTTGAGAAAACTGTATTTAGAAGTATAGGACACCATATGCAATGACACACTGGCACACCGACACACTCCTGTTAAAAGAGCATTTTTGTGTCAAAAAACATGGCAAGTCTACATATTCATCAGGAGAACTTTTATTTTTAAATCAATCTTTTTTGCCGCCAGAAAAAAGAACACCACCATTAGTTGAATTAATATCATCAACACATTTTTTTATAATTTTGGAGAAATTAACACAAAAAATATTTCAATCAGAGAGTTGTAAACATTCAGATACAACATTTTTTATGTGCATGTACACTTTTTAATATTAGCTAATTTGCTTCTCATTTGCTTTCTTCATTATGGTCAAAATTGTTAACAAACGTTTTTGTCAAAATTGAACCTATAAAGGTTTGAAGTATTCAGCACTTCTGAATGACTGGCAGTTTTTCTCTTAGGTAAAATAACAAGAACATTTATGCTTTGGAAAGAGCCACCACAGTGAAACGGAGCTCCTGGGGATCACGTGCCATGAACTTCTTGCAGACCTCAGCAGAATCCTGTAGGAGTAGGCAAAAACATATACCAAATGCATAAAAATGGGTCCCCAATCCACAAATGTTTAAACAATAGCTACTTTTACATGCAACTAAATAATCTGTTAGTAATCAAACTGATGGCTCAATCAGACTGAAAATCCTTCATGTAAACACTGCAAACAATCCGATTGAGCTTGATCTGAATGAAATTTCGATCAGATTGAAAGGGGTGGTGTAGACCTTTTCTAATCTAATTGAGAGGACACTTGACTGGATTGAAAACGGAAACTGGAAAGTACAGTGCACGTGCAGTGACGTAGAAATGGCGTATGATGCCATAAGTGTCATAAATGACTGTCATGTTATTCTAAATTTCTCCTTCCACTCACTGTCTGTGAAGTGGAGCAGAATAACGTCACATCAGTCCTCACTTCTTACGCTCATCCACAGATGGCTTTTTTTGGAATTGGCGAGTTTACTGCTTAATAAATATAAGCAGCACGGCTAAAATCTTCATGTGCTCCTCGTCTCCTAATTAGGACCAGAAATAGATAGATTTTAAGTCTGCTCTTTAAAACAAAGAAAAGAAGTGATGGTAGGAGAATAGTATGTGCAAACAGTGGGAAACTGTATATTCACGCAGTGTGCACACACGTCAAAAGATCGAATTTGATTTGAAGCTTGTGACATAAACGTGCACACCAACCCAATCACTTTATTTAGCGTTCATGTAAACACTACGTTCTGATTCATCAATCAGAATTATTTAATTCCGATTGAAACAAAAGGTATCCATGTAAATGTAGCTAATGCCTACAAACAAAACAAGTAGCAAATATACATCCATTGCTAGAGATAATCTTTACATCTATAGCCCATGAATGAGAAAAATCCCACCTCAAGAAATGTGTCCTCTGTTGTTTTCCCATGAACAATTGGAAAAGGTTTGCGTCCATCTGAAACACATGAACAAAATATGAACACCTGTAATATCTCCCTTCATAATGTTGCACATAATAATTATGCATACGTGTTGATACTGCACATCTCTAAATTTTGTGACAAGTTCCTAAAACAATGACAAAATGTATCATGCAAAATTAAATTTACCTACCCAGTTCATATAAATGTCCCTCAATGTTTACAAAGGCGATAAAATGCAAATCCACTTTTTCATCTAAACTTGGGGCCTATAAGGGTGAGCAGAGTAAATAATTAGCATGTTAGAAATTTTCTCTTGACACTGGGACAGCAATAAAAAAAGCTGAGATCCAACACAATTAGAATACTTAAGTTCTCAGAATTTATGAAGAATTAATAGAGCATGTCAGTCCTGTAGAAAGTAGTGAAACCAGACTGGAAAGGTCTTAAAGGTTATACTGTAGGCAGATGTGACTGCAGCAATAATTTGCAGTTGCCAAGATCTAAAGTGAGGATAGGACGGTAGCTCACAAGACAATTAGATAGTGTTGATTGGATAGTTGAGTCGAAAAAAAAAGTAGGGCAAGACTTGATTTTGTCCATTGGGAATTAATTGGGTTATTGTATATTTCTGCGATCTCATGTGAGTGTCAGGTTGCAGGAGGCGAGGTATTATTTTCCAATCCTCTCACCTGTGCACATATCATCAGAGATATTTTTGCAAGTGTGAGGAGAACTTTTAATTTTGATTAAAGGTTACAAGAAAAAAATGTGCATTTATATATTTTATTTATAATAAAAACACTGCAATATTCATTTTTTTCCCCAATAAGGATTTTCAAGTTTGATTTTATTTTGACTTTAAAAAAAATCTGCCTCAGACATCACAGATATGCAAAATCTGAAGTGTTAATATATGGGTCCAGAATTAATTATTAAATAAATGAGCTGGACATCTTTGCCTCTATTTTTTTTTTAAGAAACTGAATCTAGGACTTACATTCCAATATCTCAACATGGTCCAATTTGCAAAATTCTGCTACTTCAACATTACATGGAAAATTCATCAGTGGGAATAAACTTTAAAATGTGTGCAAATACTCTGTACTGTTTTGGATGCTGTATAAGCAATTACTCTGTATTTAGCAAATACCAACCTCTGTTTGTCCTTCCTGGGCGCTTGACTCATGTGTTACTCGGATACTCTGAAATCATAAAAATATCAGAACTATGAAGAAAAGTTTAGTTCGGTTAATTCCTTCAGAGGCCATTCAGTTGCAATAAATATATAATATTTTATCACCTCATCTTTTTCAAGGAAAGCTGCCTTTTCTTCTGGGCTCATCTTTGCAGACTGCAGTAAAAATGCCTTAAGCGGTGAAATGGGCTCTGTCAAAAAAAGAAATGTCATGACCATACCACAAACAAGTGCACCGACTAATATTTTTCAAAACAGGTGAAATCACTCCAAAAAAACTGATACTTACCAAACTCCAGATACCTTTGATTGTTTGCCACAGCATGAATCAGCCCTATTGTACCACAAGCATTGCCGATGGTTTGCTTCATGAAGTACACATCAGAGGACAACTCTTGTCCTTGTGCCTTAATTTTTGCCTCCTCCTCCTGTCTAAATGGTTCATACTACATTGAGGAAAAGGATATTACTAAATTTTAATTTACAGTAAATATCACATAAAGGTTCACTAAGCGATTTTGAAAAACAATTTTGACCACAGTGTCTGAGTCCCAAAACACACTCACAGCCAATCAGCAGTAAGGGGCGTGTCTAGTGATGATAGGGAGAAGAGAGCGCTCAGTGAGTGCACAGGACGGATATTAGCTGATCGACTATAGACAACGAGAGATGGCAGCTAAAAAAAAAAGAGGAACATTTCGGAGGAACAAGACATTAAAAAGAAGAGCTACGATCAGGCAAGAGGACCCGCGTAAATATTGGGGCAGCTTTCCAGTGGTGGAGAGAACTCAAGGAACAGAAGGGAATCGGACACCGAGGTTGCTTTGTTTCTTCTTGATAGGCGAGTTACATTGATTTAGCTTTTTCACACAACTTTTCTGTGTTGGCTTCTGCTTGAATATGCTGTGGCTGGCAGGCATAGCAGATTCCGCCATCGTCACTGCCAGGGTTGTGTTCATACGTGTGGGGTGGAGTTATCAAAATAGGGTGAGGTCCTGTTGGGGTATGGGCAGTTTTGTTTTGGTGCTTTCAAATATCAACATCGTTTGGAAAAAAAATCGCTTAGTGCATCTTTAAAATACTAATAATAATTTACAAGAATGACAAAAATGCTCTATTCATCTGACTGGAATTTGATTATGAATATAAAATCAACTCCTCCAGGACTTAGAGGTACAGGACTTGCACACAAATCACATAATCATACAAATTACTAATTGTTTTTTTAAGCTAGTTACATAAAGATGTAGAATTGATCTAATTTAATAAAAATTAAAAAATACAACTAAAAACCAACAGTCTTAATATAGAGTCTAAGTTTATGGCCATAGGACTGTGTAACAATTTTTGTCACATCCTGTGTCATGCTGAAACCAAACTACCCTCATATA